TATTCTGCAAGATGGGTTAGACTTGAAAAGGGGTTTGGGTGGTCTGGACCCTTCTGCTCCTAACTACTTAGATTTAATTTGGGATGATCTTCTAAAGACACCTATTTACTCTTTCACGCTGACTCTAATTAAAGTTGATTTTAAAAGAATTTAGAACTCTAAATTTTCCTGTGCTATCTTCTACAAAAATGTTACTTTTCACACACGAATATTAGAAATGTTATAATTTTTCTATTTATATTGAAGGGAATACAATCTTTAAGCTCCCATTTTTCGATGGCATTTGCTGGAAGATTTTCGTGCGTTTGTTTCTCTATGTCTCAGAGCTGTTATAATTAAGGAGACAGTCAGTGTATCTCTACCCAAAGTGCTTGTGATCAGTGAGAAGCTGCCCATTCTCTTTTCTTCATTTAATTTTGGGACGCAGAACACAGAGGCATGGAGTTAAGGAGCCGAAGTTTTGCCATGTGATAGACAAGTAAATGAGAGGTTTGGGGAAGAGAGAAAGAGGAAGTGAGTAAATGGATAGTTAGAGCCACAGAGACTACTAACCATAGAGATAGAATCATGTTCTTAACTGAACATGAAAGAATGTAAGTTTGGAGGATTCCGTGATTCAGATGATCCCTTTCGATAATTTTTAATTGTTATTTCTGCCCCTACACATATTTTTCTCCTCCTGCTATTCTTTTTGAAATCCTCACGTTCCTATTTTTCTTTATCAATTCCTTCAGGGTATGGATGGTTTTGATGAGTTGATTATTAAATGGAAGTGACTAGCCGAGTTGAGTAGCTGGTGGGTGAAGGATTCCAGGAAGAACTTAATGGTGGCAACCACTTATTACGGAACGAAGCCTGAATGAAAAGCTATGTTGTAACTGGGCTGAGAACTGGTCTCTTTCTATTGCCTGGTTTACTAAAATAACCCACGTATAGTTGCTCATGGGAAATCTCTGTGCTTTTCACTTAATTTTTTCATAACTCTCAAGCTGCTCTAAACTATAGATTTAAAAAATAAAAATAAAAACCACGATGAGATACCTCTATACGTCTACTAAAATGGCTGAAATTAATACAACTGAGAAGATTCAATATTGAGGGGCAGTTTGTGAAGATCTAGCTACATAGGCCTCTACCAAGGTCCTGTTTCCAAGAGATCGATTTAGAGTTTTGCCCATGGATTCTAAATATTAGCACACGAAAGCATAAGAATGGATGACTCTTACTGTCTGTGCACATGAGGCTCTGAAGTGCCATCCTAAGTCCTAAGCTGGAGAATAAGAATATTTATTATGGTTCACTAGAACCTGGCCATCTGCAAGGGAAAATGAATCTTAATATCTTATGCCCAGTGCCTCTCTCATGTGAGTCTTTTTTTTTCATGTGTCAGATGAGTAGTTTGGATCAGGTGACATTCCAGCAATCTTAAAAGGTCTGACACTGATTCTCAGTGATCACTAGTTTGAGAACTTAATGGGATTATTGAGCTATTAAATTTTAGTAATAATTTCATGTGTCAAGTGAAATTTTATTTAAAACAATATTTTGACTATATATAAAATAGACACTAGCATTTGACACGCTGCCCGTTCCAGATTTAGCATTCGATAAATACAAATTTTCTACGGCTCTCTCTACTCTGTCCTTGTTACTTTTTTGCAATTTCATGAGCTAAGTAAGTTCCTGACTCTGTCACACTGTGAGAAACCAGCTGGGCAGCACCGACTAAACTGCCTGAAAACTGAGCCCCAGGTGAGTTTTCTCTTCTTCAATTTCTACCCGATTGCCTGTTTGATTGGATAGGCAAATAAAAGGGAAACTGGAAGGAGAACAGATCATAAAAGGATCTTATTTGTTTGGAGAAACACACAAGTATCCAACCTAGCATGAGTAAAATATGTGGGGATTTGGGTGAGGATGTAGGAAAATTCGAACATTTCAGAAGGGTAAGAATTAGACCATGTCTCCTCCACCATGGGGTCATGATTCCTCTACAGGTCACCAAGCTTTTGGTGTCCCAGTTTCAAACCTCAAGAGAAGATGCCTAGGACAGTAGTAAAAAGACAGTGTTTGCTCTTTTACAGAGCTTATGGTCTCATCTAGCAGTGGAAATAAACACTAAACAAATAAATAAATGTATTCCTAAATTTTCCGTGGAGGTCACTGAAATAGAGGTATGTAAAGCAAGATAAGGGATTAGAATAATGGAAGAAATCATACTGAGTCAGGCAGAGTCACCCTGAGGAGGTTATCTCAGCAGAGAACAAGCCAGTAATTCAATTATTTGTAACTATTTAAACTTATGGTGAAGAATTTCACATGTCACTTTAAAAATATATAAGCGGGCACCAAATTCAGAGGGATCGAAAGCAAAAACTTTGAAGACAATCATGGTAAACACTGTAGACAATCAGACCTGTTCTGAGAGAGTACATTGACCTCTCTGGACTCTACGTCACGTCCCCAGTCAAGGCCCTTTATTCAGGACTGGGACCTAATGAATTTACGTCACCCACTAACCTCTGAATTTTCCCTGTAAAAGAAGCTGGTGTTTTGAGGGACGTTTTGTTCCAAGTGGTAGAAAGAGCTACCATTTAAGGGAATGAAAACTCCATCCCAGAATTCCTCAACTTTACTAAATAAGATTGAACTTGACAGATTCCACAGAAGGTAACTTTCTTCTTTAAGATTCTGAGTCAATATAGAAACATTCTAAATTAAATATTTCAATAAAGTGAATACGTAGTTTTGACTACTGATAACATTAACTGCATATGCAGATGTGCCAATTTATATATTGCATAAGTATCTGAAACTATCCTGAATATAATTGTAATACAGATAAAAATGTAGGAATTCAAAAACTGGGTATAACATAACTCTAAAATGATAGATTCAGGTTTGGCAAGAACAACTAGATTTTGAAGGGTTAGTGGACATTACAAACATGAACTCACGAAATTTAGGCATTACAGAATTTGGAGTCAGAAGAAATAGGTTTGAGTCATGTCTACACTTTCTAACTTCAAAGTTCACTCTCTTCCACTGCCAGACATTGTGACCTTGAAAAGACACTACCCATCTCCATAACACACACATTGTTATTTTATAATCGACAAACTGAAAATAAAAAATATCTTGTCCAGCTAGTTTCTCAAAGCAACTGTAGGAGCCACAGCAGGTAAAGTGGCCTTATTAATTTGCAAACTTTTGAGAAGGAAAAGAGTTACAGTCTTTATTATTTGCTTTTATTCAGGAAAGGTCTTGGGCAGAAATTACCTAGACATATAAATTGCCAGGAAAATGTATAGAAAAAGAGTATAGAAAGCTGCAGATAATAATGTTAATCAGCTTGTACTATAATGTTTTCAATAATGCAAGTAAGTTGTTGGTACTCTACGGTTTTCATTTCAAGAATGTTATTAGTTACTAAATATTAACACCAAAGTAATCATGTTATGGAAGATTAGGGATATGGGAATGAGTGTTCAGTGTTTTGTCCCTTGCCATTTCTTACTGTCTGTTGACTTACCTGTGTCACTTAACTTTCCAATGATTACCCTTTTTACCTCAGAGATAAACAACAACTTTTAAACATGTCATTGAAGAATTCTTGGTGCTGATTCTGCATCAAAAGATTCCTTGCAGATATTCTTCATGACCTTTTTTTCCTGGCATCTTCTAAAATTCTATTTTTGAGATCCTTTTTTCCTAATGTTTAATTATTCTAGGCAAATGACTTACGCAATTTAATTGCATCACGGTTCATTTCAAATAACCTGAGGCAAGAATAAATCTGAAGTATTTACATTTCGTTTCTTGGTCAACAAGGATCACTGTGAGAATCTGTACTTCAAGTGGAATTTTCTCTCCTGCTTTCAAAAGCTGCATATTTCCACAGCTCTTCTGCCACCATGAAGGGGACCTCCTTGAATGCCGTCCTCGTTCTGGTCATCACTGCGTGGGCTGCTTTTGCAGTTGGTGAGTTACATGATCTTGCTCTGCCCGCATTTTCTGCAGTATATCTAGGATCATGGGGGAAATTAGAGGTAGAAGGGGAAGTGCCATTCAGTTCTACTTGATCCTAATTCCTCATGTCACAGATGTAGAAAATGAAATCCTGAATAAGAAAGGATTCACACAGTGTCGCCGATATCGACACTGGGAGTCAAATCCAAACCTTCCAAATTTATGACTGTTGAACTTTTCAAAATACCTGGTTATCATCCAGGACGTTCAAACCTTAGAAAGATTTGTTTCCAGAATCTGTACATTTACATTTCTCAGACTCAAAGAGAACTTCGTTAGGATCTATGGAGGTAAACTCAGACATCACTCTGCTTAATGGCTGGTTTTAGAGTGGTCGTGGCTAACCGTGGGGATTCTCCAAAGGCCTCATCACATTTTTCTTCCGTTTGGACCCTTAAACTCTTTCTCATTTGCCTTCCATCTCTTACTTTCCATTGATGTTCTCTCTCACTGGGAACATTTTTTCAAGTCTCTCATATCTTAAGAGGCTCTGTAACAAACTGAAAACTATTCTTCAGGCTTCTCCTGTCTTACGGGGAAAAAAAAAATCTTGTCCTTCCTCTACCAAAGAAAAACTGTTTCCTTCTACTCACAAGACTTCTGACAACGTGTGGGTCTTCCACACCACGTAATTCTCCGGTTCTCTGTGGACACTGACTGGGTGTCCTACAATTTAATTCAGTTATGACAATAACTACCTAGCATTAGCACAGACCCCGTAGATTAGGGACTCAGTCTCACAAGACGTCCCCCTCCTTCAGACACCAGTGGCAAGTCTGGGCCTGCAGCACTCTGATCGACTGTCTATAAATCAAGGGTTCCCGTGACTCCCTCCTCAGATTCAATGATTGGCTAGGATGGCTCGCAGAAATCAGGAAAGTGTTTTTACGTACTATTATCAGTTTGTTATAAAGGAGACAACTCAGAAATGGTCACATGGAAGAGGCGCATGGGGCCAGGTCTGAGGTGAGGGGCACAGGGCGTCCATGCCCAGCCTGGAAGTTCTCCAAACCTCCTCACTGAAGGTTTTCATGGAAGTTCCATTAGGAAGCATGACTGATTAAACCACTGGCCGTTGGTGATTAATTCTACCTCCAGCCTCTAACTCCTTCCCAGAGGTCGGTGGCGGGGGGGCGGGGCTGAAAATCCAGATCTTCCAACCACATAGTTGATCCTTCCGGCAACCAGCCTATCCTCCATCAGAGTAAGATATGGGGACAGAGACTAAATAGATATTTCTTATTATATCACATTATATCCCCTTCTCTACCAAATTTAATCCCTCTGACGATATCTAGGCATTTTTCTACACTTTCTCATCCTTCTGTGAATCTTCATCCCCACTGGTGCCGAGAACACCACCTAGTGGCACGGGCCTCCCCACAAGCCCGCTGTGTGCCCTTGCGGCTGAGTCTCATGCTGACCCTCTGTGGGGAACACGACATAACTCGACCGAGGTAGACCAGTCCATCTTTTCTGAAAATCATGCTGTCCTTGTCCTCATAGTTTTATGGCTTTGTATTTTCCCTCAAATGTTTCTCTCCTGTGTACCCACATCCAGTGACCCTGTTCAGTTGATAAAACACTTAATATACCACGTAAATCCATGCCCTTCTGAGAACAATGACTCTTCCTCAACGAACATTCTCATCATTGTTCCCTGAAAAAATTTTTACGTTCTCCTTCACTGTTCCTTTTGCCACTAGCTTGAGTTCCTTCAGCCCATCATCTATATTGCTATAAGAGTTTCCTTTTTTAGTGCAAACACAGAAGCCTTTGCGTTAATTCCCTTACTACCAGGCTAGGTCTCCCAGCAGCCACTTATTTACATATCCAATAAACACATAGCATGTGCTGACCTTGTGCTGGAAACTGAGCTAACCACTGGTATGCTGCAGGAATGGTCCCTGGCCTCACAGTGTGACAGACCAGCAGTCGGAGAGATCATAGTCCACATCGAGTGCTGGCATACATTGTGATAAGCGTTCTCAAAAGTAAGAACAGTGAGAGTCTGTGGAACTTAAGCCACGGCCCGCTTCTTCCCTCCTTGCTTAGCTCGGCATGATGGAAGCCCCACTCAGGGCAGGCATGGCCAAGAAGATGGGGCTCGCTCACTCCCTAGCTCACAGTCAAGGGCAGAGGTATCTCCCTGAGAGAAACAGATCATTGATAGTATCACCCCCGTTCCATAGTTCTGTGTCGCTAAGGCTAAATCTCAAGACAGTGAGACCAGGAGGTAGGAGGGCTCTTTTCCTACCCGGATCCCACCTTGGCGGGGCAGAGGCTCTACCCCAGATGAGAAAGACTGAGAATCGTGGGTCCCAACTGCCCTCTCCCCAGTTTTCTTGTCGATTGGAGGTTCGTTCCATGCTGGGAGAAACCAGCTGGGAAGATAAGAGGTTACCATCCCTTCCCAGTCCTCTGCTTGTAAAGCAAGGTGTCACTCTGAAAGAAGCAGGCCACTGTCCAGAGCAGTGGCACAGATATTTTGCTAACAAAAGGCAGGCCATAAGAACAGGGAGCTCCAAAGATTTCCCCAAAGAAACTAATTTTATTCGGAACAGAATGTGGTGATGTTGGAGTCTAAGAGAGCTCTCAGAAACAATGGAGATCTTGATGGTCGGCAATTAAGGGGAAGTTGGTCTCTCCATCAGAACGACAAGCTCAACCACAGGCCAGCTAGTTTACCAGAAAAAAAAAAAAAACAGGGGACAATGCTGTTAAAAAGAGTTCCCAGGGGTCAGAACAAACCTCAGACACTGGCCTCAAAAACTACCCAGCAAAGGAGTCCAAATTTAATTGGATCAGACCATGGAGCAATTTATGCCTCAGAGCATTGCTGGGAAATAAATAAATAAATAAAGCAATCATCTGGCCATTATCAGGGCTTAAGAGCCGGTATGATACCAACGTAGGCAGATAGCTTGATAGAGAGGTCAAAGAAAGAGACAGTCAAAGCAAGCCCTGCTAAAACCTCTGCCATCTTAGGCCGATTGGGTATATACCCAAAGACACGTCCTCTGGAGAGTGACATCGGAGGCTTCGCACTGCAGGGAAAATAGATGTCAGTAAAATAGCTCAGCCAAGGCATTGAACACATAAACAAGCAAACAACAAGCCCTGAGTGGGAGTAGGGAGAAGTCAGTAACTAGAGTTGCTACAATATACTATCTAAATGTCCAGTTTTCAACAAAAAATTATGAGATATGCAAATAAAAAACGTTCCCATAGACAGTAAAGCAAGTAACAGAAACTGCCTGTGAGAAGGCCCAGGTATCAAATCTAGCCAACAAAAACTTTAAAGCAACTATTATAAATGAATTCAAAGAACTAAATAAAAAAGGAAGTCATGCTTAAAGAAGTAAAGGAAAATATGATAATAATGTGCAATCAAATAGGGAATATTAATAAAGAGACACAAATTGTTTTAAAAAGACAAATGGAAATTCTGGAGTTAAAGAGTATGATAACGCAAATGAAAAATTCACTAGAAGACACAACAGTAGATCTGCGCTGGCGGAACTTAAAGATTATACAACCCAAAAATAAGATAAAGATATATGTATATACATATAAAAAAGAACAGGGTCTCATAGAACTATGGGACACCATTAAGAGTATGAACATCACAGAAATGGAAAAAATAAAAGAGAGAAAGAAAATATTTGAAGAAATAATGGCCAAAACTTCCAAATATGATGAAAAACATTAATCTGCACGTCCAAGAAGTTCAATGAACTTCAAGCAGGACAGACTCAAAGAGATTCACATATAGACACATCATTATCAAACTACCTGAAAATAAAGAAAAGAGAAAATTTTGACAGCAGCAAAAGAAAGTGAATCATCACATACAAATGATTCTCAGTAGGATTAACAGCTATTTTCTCGTCAAAATCATGGAGGCCAAAAGGCAGTGGGGTGTATATCCAAAGGGCCAAAAGAAAAAAAAAAAAACTGTCAACCAAGACTCTTATGTGCAGAAAAGCTATCTTTTAAAAATAAGGATGAAATTTAAGATATTTAAGACATTCCCAGATGTATAAAAGAGAATTGGTGGCTGGCAGACTCGCCTTACCAGAAATAAGGCATCTTACAAGTTCTTCAGGCTGAAAGCAACACCAGATAGTAATTCAAACCCACATGAAAAAAATAGAGAGTGTGGCAAACATAACTCCAGGATTATAACAAACAGCATAGATTCATATCAATTCTCCCTCTTTTCACTGACGTTAAAAGCACCGTATAAAACAGCATGTTTAAAATTGCATTATTGGGCCTATACCATATAGAAATGTAACATACTAGACAACAGCACGAAGGAGGTGAATGGGAGCAAAGCCGTACAGGTGTAAGGAAATGACACCAGATAATAACTTACATCCACTGGAAAAAGTGAAGAGGACCAGAAATGGCGAATAAAAGGTTAATATAACAAACTCTCTAAATACATACTTCCTGTCTGTTCTTCTCTAAGCTTCTTTAAAATACGTAAAATGATATAAAATAATAATTATAGCAATGTATTGTTGGGCTTGTAACAAACAGAGATGTAAGATATCTAATAACAACAGCACAGAAAGAGAGAAGAAGAAATAGAGCAATGTAGAAATAATATTTCTAAACATTACTTGAATTAAAATAGTGTAAATCTGAAGTATATCCTGATAAGTTAAGATATACATGGTAAGCCATAGTGCAACTACTAAAAAAATTCAGTGAAGATAGAGAAAAAAATTATTAAGGGAATTACAATATTACACTAGATTACATGCACTTAATGCACTAAAGGAGGAATAGGGAAGCGAAAAAGACACAAGACAGAGGGAAACAAAAAGTAAAATGCCAGATGTGAATCCAACTCTACCATAAAAATATTAAGTGTGAATGAATTTCACAATCCAATCAAAAGGGCGTCTTACCACCGAAACCTTCCCTTCTTGATCAGCTCAGCTCTGACAGTTGCTCACCTGCGTATATACTAAAAACCATCGACTGTACACGTTAAATAAATCAATTCTATGGTATGTGAATTATATCTTAATAAAGCTGATATATATACTATACCGCTGATAATATAATATATGACATACTTATGTAATAACTATATCTGATTATAATATATAGTCTACGGCCATACCACCCTCAACACGCCTGACCTTGTCTGATCTCAGGAGCTAAGCAGGGTCAGGCCTGCTTAGTACTTGAATGGGAGACCACCTTGGAATAAAAAAAAAGTGGCTGACAGATTATAATGTATACTATAATTATACTATATAATTAAATATAATAAAATACTATATACATATATATGAATAATTGCAGACTGCTTTGGATCAAGAATACGTCTTAATGAAACCAGCATCTTTTAAGGTATCTCAGTATATTACTATTTCATGGTAATTTGTAACTTACAGGATGTTTTCTAAAAACAACTGAAGATTACGGAAATTGTTACTTACTTGTGAAGTGGAAGGGCTGGAATTAAGATCTTCAATTTACATGAGGGAGAGGGGCAGACGTTTCCAGATTCTTCACTTCTTTGGAGGGCAGCAGAGGGACCGCGGCCTCTTCAGATGGGATCCGATGCTTCCAGATGGGATCCAATGCTTCCTGTGTGCCAACCAGGGTCTCTCTCATCCTAGCTATTTTACCTAAGAGCAGAAAACAGAGCAATGGCTTTTCTGAATGTGTTTTATCTTCCAGACTTCCATCTGCCTACTGGTGAAGGGGCTACCCCAGAAGACACAAAGGTGAGCTCTGATTCCTTGGTTCCCGAGAACAGGAATGGGGAGGTGGGGGCCAGAGGGGACTTGCAGGGGAATAGCACCATGATAAAAGCTGAGTCATCGACTATACGTAGCACATTTTATATGTTCCTGAGCCCTCTTCCCATTCATTATCTCAATCAGTTCATATAACTCTTATGAGATGGAAGGAAAGTATTTTGCATCATTAAGTGGATGATGAA